GTTTCATTTGTCTCCAACCATGTAAATACCATACCGGCAGATTCCATAATATAAAAAAAAATATTAAAGAAACCATTTCAAAGGTTTTCAAATAAAAACCAAGATCAGATCAAAGTAGTTTCACACTATAAATTCAATTCAAGACGCATGTCACTGCACATTAGTTCCATCAACGCTACCGTATTGTGAAACGCGTCTTGAATTGAAAATCGTGATTGATAATTTTCATCATATTTATAATTGGGTAGATGTAGAGGTTCCTCGGGTTTTAACCATTGTTCTGTGAGGAGAACTATGTCCGGCACTGCCATATCCTCTAGGAGTACAAAAAGTTCGTCGGTTTTGTTTCTCACGGACTGGATATTGAGCAACATCATACTGAGGCTGGTACAGGTTGTGTTGGATCTAAAAAAGAGCAGGGGGAATTTTCAATTCTTCGATTATTGTGTTCCGATAATGACGATGATGGGCAAACTGGATTAGAAGTACTATTTTCGCTCCTTTTAGATTCATTTTCTTCACTGAGGATACACTACAAAAACACACTTTTGTCTATTTTCTATTTTGTAGTGTATCCTCAGTGAACATGAATTTCCACAAAATAAACAAGTCGTCAATCGAAGAAGTCTTTTTCTTCAGACGAATATATCAGTGTACCTGGTATAGAGATTCTATCTAGACAGAGCGAATGGAATTCGGAGTTGAGTATTATATTTTTGATTGCCTTGCATAAAAAATATTTACCTCGATTGTTTGAATTTGTTGAATTTATGTAATTACTTTTTTTCAAAATATTGTTGCAGTCGAGAAGGCAATGTTCCAATCTTGCCTGGTGAGCTGCTTTGCGAAGCTCAAGGTTATTTTCCTGAATAATATTGTTTATTGGAGAAGAACTTGCACGATACGTTCTGTGATAATAGTGCGTCGTGTATTTTTTACTGGTACTAGAAAGTCGCTAACTAAGCTACTACTGCATGAATTGGGCCAAAGGATGACCATGTCGTTTCTAGTTAAATTTCTTGAATTTTGGAGAGCTGTATGTACCAGCTCATAGTCATTAGCATGTGGTTTTACTATAAATTCCACCATATAATCCGCTCCTAGCAGCTTTTTTAGGAGCATGCCACAGTTCCTTTCTCGAATATGACTGACAATGACAATTTTATTTGGTCTCACTTCGAAT